TCACAGTCTAGGCATCCCCCATGCATAAATACCAAGACCCTTTCTCAAAAATATCCAAAGCAAAAGAGCTGAGGGTGTGGTTCAAGTAGTAGAGTACCTACTTAACAAGAATAAGGCCAAGTTCAACCCCTAGGACCACCTAAAAACAAAATAAAACAAAAAAAAAAAAAAATACACACACTTCCCCCCCAACCCAGGGAAAATTGCCATTTTTACAATGTTTCTAACTTCAAAGAGAATGCTTCAATGTCTCACCATTAAGTGTAGTCCCATACATACCCTTAGTTGTTTAAGGAAGTTCTGGCTAAGGACTTTTATCATAAGTTACACTGAATTTTACCAGTCTTTTTCTGTATCTATTGAACATCTTCTTGTTCTTTGGACTGTAACCTTAGACAATTATCTTAGTCTGTCACTAACATTTTCTAATGTTAATCCACTCTTGTATACCTAAAAAATAAATGAAGTAGGTGGGCCATTATAAATATTATTTTATAGTATTCTGGAAGCTGCCTACTACTTTTTATATTCAATTTATGTGACTATATTCATAAATTAAATCAGTCTAACTCTTCTGTGAATTGGTTCTTGCCTAGTTTTCCTAGGAAGATAATACTTGATTTATATTAAACATGTCTTTCTTTATATACTTTGTTTACTCTGAGTTGTGAAGTAACCTTCTATAATCTGGAAGTCTGCTGAATACTAGAACTATTTGACATGCAAATGTTAAGTACAAATGTGGTAATATGTCCAGGTTTCTTCATTTTAAAATTGTATTTTGATATCATCTCTCTTTCTTTGACTCAACTTGACAAGTGTTTACAAAATGACCAACCTTTGGTTTTCATGGAATGTTTCACTTCTCATTTTTTTCCTTATATACTTTGCTTATTCTGATAATGCTTTTACAACTTGAATTGGATGTTTAGCAGAAAGATATTTTTAAAAAACAATTTAAAATCTTACAAATTTTAATGTTTAACATTTTAATTATCACTTCTAAATAACTGTCACAATTTATTGTTTTGTCAGATTAACTATGCTTGCCATTAAATTTGTAGTTCTTACAAAGTGATCTATAATTACTGAGAATCGTGTTAAAATGACCCACTAAATTGTGAATTTCTTTCTCTTTATAATTCTTTCAATTTATCCTTTCTATATTTTGAGCCTATATACATAGACGCTTACAGACATATTCCTAAGAACTAAACCTTTTTATTGTTTAAAGCCTTCTTTATCCAGTTAAAACTACTATGTCCAATATTAATTACAAACTACCTTAGTTTTCTTTTGATTTGTATTCTCCTGGCAAATCTTTTTCCAGCATTTTCATGACTATATTTTAACTGGTTCCCTGTTTTGTTTTGTTTTGGCTTTTTGGTGGGACTGCAATTTGAACTCAGGGGATTTGGGCTTACAAAGCAGGTACTATAGTGCTTAAGCCACACCTCCAGTCCATTTTGTTCTGGTTATTTTGGAGATAGGGTCTCAAGAGCTATTTGCCTATACTGACCTCAAACCACAATCCTCCAGATCTCAGCCTCCCCAGTAGCTAGGATTAAAGGTGTGATCCCAGAAGCTATTTCTCTCAACTTCAACCAACTGGATTATCTCCAACCCAATCTAACAAAGTTGTGTTATGTGTAAAATTAGGCCATTTACATTTATTGTAATGCTCTCTTTTCTTGAAATCCTTAAAAATTTAAGACAAACATGCTTCATTTAAAAGTTCAAAGTTAACTGGCAGCTTTAAATATTCCTGATCATCACCACAACCAAATCACTCATTAAACCACTCAATCTTATGTATTTTTATCCAGTGGTTTAGTACTATTTTGTTAATCTTTCAATTAGTCATTCTAATTATTACTGCTGTTTTTTGTTTTCATATCAGTTTTTATTTAGAACATTTTTAGTTCACCACTATTTATTTTATCTCAGTCCTAAATTCAGAACTGAGAAAGTTTATTCAAAAATGCTCACATTCTAATTTTTTCAGGGAGGATCTATTTACAAATGAATATGCCTTCTGGATACAAAACTCGAATTTTTAAAGACAAATACTTTATCTTAACATTTTGGGAATATACTTCCATTATCTTCTAGCATCCATCCTTTTAATTGAGAAGTCAGTCATCAGTTTAAACTTCACTTCTTCTTAAGGGCTGTGCTTTTGCATTCTGAATGTTTTGTAGATTGTACCTACTTTGGAGTTTCTGATTCTCTCCAGGATGTGTCTGGACAAGAATTTATTTCTTATTTACTCTACTCATGCATGACACTACCCAATCCATAAATTCATGCTTTTTTGCCAATTCTGTAATATTTTAAGCTATTTCTATTCAAGTATCACCTATTCTATATTCTCCACCTGCTATTCTAAAATCACTATTAAACATACTGTGCAGTATTTTTCATGTTTTCTCTATCTTACCTAACTGTGTTATGTACAGTTTCCTCAGATTCATCTACTAGTCTTTTATCTAAATGTCTGTTATCTCTCACCCACTTAAGATTTTAATTTCAAGGACCATTTTTCATTTCTAGTTTTTCTAATTTTCCCCTTTCATATGTCAATAATTGAGGGTTTTTAACTCCTTTTTTTAGGTTCTTAATTCATTGACATACTTTAATATTGTATCTTCAATCTATTTAAGATACTTATGTTTTTTGACTGCTAGACTTTTTCATTCAGTATCATAAATATTCACTGAAACTACAGAGTTAAAATTATGCACAGGACTTGGAAATCTTTCAGTCTAAACTAAACAGACTAAGCAGAGGACTGAATGAGGTAGCTGGAAGGAAGATTTCAGCTCCTCTACTCAAGGAAGGAGTTAAGATTCTAGGATTCTAGTTTCTAGACATGTCTGTGCAGTGGGCCAAGGAAAAAATGTGCTTACAGGAGTGCCTATTTGTATGTACTGCTATTTTATTTTAGTGGTGCTGGACAGCAACCCAGGGCTGCAAACATGCTAGGAAAATATTCCACCATGGAACTAAACCCCTAACTCAGCAGGCGCCTATTAATGTTCCCTAACAAAGCCTTTTACATGACAATAGACTGGATAGATGGAGGTCTGGGGCTTCTCTGGTAGTCAGGTCCAGAGTGCAGAAAACAAAGCTAGATGCCTGATATGTATCTGAAATGAACAGTCTCACAGATGCCACCACGAATGTGGGCTCCAGAGGGCTGGGTGGAGAATGTGGTCAGGTGTAGCCACTTTGGGAGGCCTCCTGAATCTCCTCTTGGAAGTCCAGCCCTCCTCCCTAGGGCACTGTGGCTGGATTCATGACCCTGGTTCTCCCACCTGAACACATGGGGCAAAGAACTTGAGGCATCAGGCTAAAGCATCTGTGGTCACTTGCCCTCAACAAGCTGGTAACTGGCCCCCTGCCAAACTTTTACAGTTCTTTTCATTAAAAATCCTAACTACATGTGGGCACTTAGGACACTAAGACAAAGGAAGCAGTAAAATGTGTTTCAAAGGACCAATTCTCTAGGTCCTACCTTCACTCTCATGGTCACCAGGGACAAAGGTAAAGCTCAGCTGGGTAGTCAGATTTAGAATAAAGCAAGCCGCACACAATTAAACACCAATGAGAATGACACCAGGCAATAAGGAATGACAAGAGAGAGGCAGCTCAGAGCTCACAGCACACAGGCATCTATAATTTTCATCTCATAAATTATCTCCACTGGGCACAGTGCCTCACACCTGTAGTTCCACCTAAGCAGCAGGCACAAGTAGGAGGATCTCAGTCCAAGGTCAGCCCCAGGCCAAAACACGAGACTGAAAAATAACTAAAGCAAAAGCAGCCAGGGCCCTAGCTCAAATGGTAGAGCAGCCACCCAGCAACCATGAGGACGTAAATTCAAATCTCAGTACTGCCAAAAACATAAGTTAAAAATAAAAAACAAACTATCTGAGCAGCTAGTTGTGGTGGTACATGTCTATAATCCCAGTCATTCTGGAGGCAGAAGTAGTAAGATCCATTAGTTCCAGACCAGTCCAGACAAAGTTAGCAAGATCATACCTCCAAAACAAAGTAAAAACTAAAGAAAGAGATGGGAACATAGCTCAAGCGCTAGAGAGCTTTCCCTAGCAAACAGGATGCCTTGGGCTCAATTGTTAGTATTACAGGGGTGAGGGAGTGTATGTGTTTGTGTTCATATACAAATACACATACATATAACATATATGTGTATAATTTCAAATTTTTTTAGGTCTAATTTTACTATTATATTGTCTGCTTTCGGCATTATTGGATGATTTTCTTTTAGCTTTGAAATTTGGACATGAGGTCATTTTTAATGAAGCATTATTTGTATCAATGCTTTGTAGTTGTAGACTATCATAATTTGTCAGCAAGTTCTTAAATTTGAGCAGATGTTTATACTGGTGATTTCTGTGCCCCTTGCCTGAAACCAGACTCCTTCTAAATTATAGCACTGTGTTTCCAACTGCTTACTAGAGAGTCTGTCATTTTCAAATATCAAAACGCAAATACACAGAAAAAAATACACAAACACATCTTGATAAACATCACTAAGGCAAGGAACATTTTCAACAACATATTCCTTGTCTCTTAATTAGTGGAGACTTGCCTTTTAACTTTACTCCTCTTCTTTATCTACATTGTCACTGTCTTATAGTGAAGACCCTAACTGGTTCCATCTACCAACATAAGAAGTCATGTAATACAATAGCATCTAAGTAGCTATTAATTCACTCCCTGAAATATATACCCTATTCAAAACTGAATTATCGCAGACATTTTAATTACATGAACTAAATCAATTAGTTCTTTGCATTTAATTAGCGGCCAATATAAGTTTTATCGCACTAAAAAGCAAGTATATTGATATTGAGTCAACAGATTCTCTAAAACTAAGGTTAGAGAAGGACAAATTATATTTAGAGCCTAAGCACAAATTCTGGATATTAACATTAATGGAGTATAGACACACTTCAGTACATAATGCTACTTACCTTATGAGCAGGTACCAGATTCACTAAAACTGTATCCAAAAGCTCCTGAGATACTGTATCACCTTCACAAATAATAGAGCTCATGAGGTCTACCATGTGCATATGAACTTTCTGATTGTGGCCATTGCTGAAATTCAAAAAAGGTATTTTATTTAAAGTATATCTGACATGCATAAGATTTAGTAAGATGATACTAGCAAATGTTATATTTTATAAAATGGGTGGTAAAATAAAACTGTATATAATCATTTAAACCTTCTCCTTCTCCCCCCAAATCTCACAATACTATCAAATAGTATTAGAAACTTCTATAAAATTAAACTTAAGTGAGTTAAGTTATAACTCTCAGCCCTCTAATATTTATCATAATGAACACAGTTTATGTGGATTCATCTGTCAGTTAAAATCCTTACCTTTAAATTTTAAAAAATGTTATATACTTAGGAAAATAAACTTACTTTATAACTGAAAATAAGGTTCTGTATAGTTGGGTAAAAATTTCATTGCTATCTTCTAACTCGAAGCATATGTTATATGACTTGACCCACGCAATGTTCTAAAAATAAGATGTAAAAAGGGAGAAAGGTAAATACTTTAATTGGTAAAAAAATATACAAGCACCAAAAAATTTTAAATGATATCTCAAGACATAACATGTTGCTTACCTCAAGTAAATAAAAATACCTATTGAACTGTGGGCTCTTTGTATCTTCTAGTCCCTTCAGCTGCCTTGTTATAAACATAAATATATCCTTTAAGGGAAAAAAAAAAAGTATTGTTAAGACTGTTAAGACTGTGAATGCTAAATGAAAATATTCAAGGCTAATTCAGGATGATAAACTATAAAAAAGAAAAGAAAGAAAAAGAAAGGAAAAAAAAAACAACTGTGTTTGGGTAGAAAAGAACCTGAGGGAGTGGAGAGAGTACTTAGTTCAAAACTCAGGGTTTTGCATTTGCCAGGCGGTGTTCTACCACTTGAGCCATGCCCCTAGCCCTTTTTGCTTTAGTGATTTTTCATGTAGGGTCCCACTTTATACCTAGACCATGTTCCTCCTATTTATGCATCTCACCTAGCTGGGATGACAGGCCTACCACAGTAGCTTTTACTGGTTGAAATGGGGTCTCCTGAACTTTTTTGTCCAGGCTGGCACTGAACCACAATCTCAATCCCTGCCTCCCAAGTAGCTACAATTATAGGCATAAGGGATTTTTTTTTTTTTATAAATACAACTGAATATGAAGAACATAATATATCTTTTTCTTTTGGCAGTACTGGAGTTTGAACTCAGGGTCTTGCACTTACTAGGAAGGTACTCTACAAATTGAGCCATGCCTCCAGATCTTTTTGCTTTAGCTGGTTTTTTTTTTTTTTTCTTTTCTAGCTTTAGCTGTTTTTTGAATAGGGTGTTACGTTTATGTCTGGGACAAACCTGGACCTCGATCCTCCTATTTATGCATCTGGCATAGCTGAGATGACAGGCACACACCACCACACCCAGCTTTTTTTTTTTTTTTTTTTTGGTTGAAATGGGGTCTCAGGAATTTTTGTGCCCAGGCTGGCTTCGAACCACAAGCCTCCAGCCACCATGCCCAGTAAAAAACATGATGTATCTTGTTATCTAGTACAAGTTTATATGGGGGGGAAAAAAAAAAAAACCCTATGTATTTTACCATCTTTCATAGGAAAACATTATATCATTTAAATGATCTTAAAGTAAAGAAAGAAAATCTTCATCTTACAGCAAGTTAAACAAAATAGGCCTAAAAACATCTGAGTCAACTGAAATGCATTCTACTACAAGAATAAAAAAAATGTTACAATAACTGACAGCTGATCAGGTTTGCTGGAAGAGTACAATACATGGTAATTATGCAGCAAGAGCACAGTATAGAAAACGTAAAATTCCAAAATAAAATTGCCATGTGAGAAGACAACAGATCACTCACACAAGCCCAGGAGTCTTAAAAAGATCCTTAAAAGGTGATTTGTCAAGCTTCCTATCTAATCATTGTAATTACTTGCTTTTCCCCACCATTTCTTAATCTATTAACATCTCTTTTTTTTTTTTTTAACTTTTTATGACTTTATTCATCAGTTTGGACCACCTGAGGTCATGTGGCTCCAGTCTTCTCATTGAACATCTCTTGATTTTGATTTTTTTCTTTGTTTTTTTAACCACATCCCTTTTTGTATCTGAGTAAAGACAGGCACAATGTCACTTTGAGTCAAATTTTCATAAAAATGAGTTTCAGAAGAAATGTAGGTGATATTTCTTGAAGTGTGAAAAAGGCTTAAAACTATAAAAACCAATTCTGCAAAGGAGAAAAATGTTTCCTTATAAGCAAAATAGTAAGAAAGCATTACTTAAAGGGAGAAATGGGATATGCAAATGACTGAATAGCTTTTCAAGAAAAATACTATCAGAAGTACACTTTTTGGAAATGCTTGTTTTGATAGTTGTACTATAATATGATCACCATGAATGAAGTCTTCCTACATTATGTAAAAGAGAATTTATGGCATATTGACTCTCTCTGGAGATAGAGAGACAACAATCAACTCATTTATATCCTCTCCAACAAGCCAGATGTATAAAAAGGGTTTGGTGATTACAGTAAACTTATAATAAAAAGGTGAGGAACAAGATGAGACAATTATCTAATATATGTACCACTACTGTAAAAGACAAGAAAAATATGAACTTGATGCTACAAAAGCAGTGAAAATTAGCTCATAACTATTTTTAGCCTGTGAATTCACAGGACCCTAATTTAATCTTAGCCCTTCAATAGCCTCCTCATAAACTGGCCTAGTACGCAGACCTACACCTACTCTTTTGGAAGGACTTTTCATTCCCAATACCTTGATAAAGGTCACTAATAACACAAACTGAGAAATCCTCAAGAGAGCTAAATAAGTTGTGTAGTAGAAGTCTTAAATTATCCTTGCTTTTCATAAGAATACCAAAAACCACCTTGTGAGAAACAGCCACAGCCTACATACCAACAAATATACTCAGTCTTCAAGCCACTTAAGTATCTCCACAGGGTCACAATTAGAAATCAAACTATTCACCTGAAACACAACTACAGCACCAGCTCTTGTTATCTACTTTTTAAGTCTCTGACCATTCACAAATTTTACAATCATTTATCGTTCCTAAATGACAAATACTGCCCTCTAACACCCTTGTCTAGAGATTCTTTCACCAATCAAAATGTAAAACAAGAATGCCAAAACCAGTCTGGGTACTCCATACTTGAATTCTAGCAGGCTATCAAGTAAGTAGATTCATCAAGCAGCAACTTCATGAGTTCATATCTGGTTCCCCAACCACCACCATCATAAACTCAGTTACTGACATATAACAAACATCAACATTTGTTAAATAAAATAAATTGTCTGCCATTTTTTCACTCTGTGGTTTAATATTGTCCTCAGGACCATCATTCTATTATCAACAGCTTCCACAATTACCTTTTATGGTTGTTGCTTTCCTTTGCTTTTTTTAATTCTACCTGACCTGTCTTATAATCATTTGATATATTTTGTATAGCTCTAATCTAGGTTTATACTTGATGCTGTCTTTATTTTTTTTTTATTCATATGTGCATACAAGGATTGGTTCATTTCTCCCCACTGCCCCCACCCCCTCCCTTACCACCCACTCTGCCCCCTCTCTCTCCCCCCCACTCAATACCCAGCAGAAACTATTTTGCCCTTATTCTAATTTTTGTAGAGAGAGTATAAGCAATAATAGGAAGGAACAAGGGTTTTTGCTGGTTGAGATAAGGATAGCTATACAGGGCATTGACTTCACATTGATTTTCCTGTGCGTGGTGTTACCTTCTAGGTTAATTCTTTTTGATCTAACCTTTTCTCTAGTACCTGGTTCCCCTTTTCCTATTGGCCTCAGTTGCTTTAAGGTATCTGCTTTAGTTTCTCTGCGTTAAGGGCAACAAATGCTAGCTATTTTTTAGGTGTCTTACCTATCCTCACCCTCCTTGTGTGCTCTCGCTTTTATCATGTGTCATAGTCCAATCCCCTTGTTGTGTTTGCCCTTGATCTAATGTCACATATGAGGAGAACATACGATTTTGGTTTTTGGAGCCAGGCTAACCTCACTCAGAATGATGTTCTCCAATTCATCCATTTACCAGCGAATGATAACATTTCGTCTTCTTTTCATGGCTGCATAAAATTCCATTGTGTATAGATACCACATTTTCTTAATCCATTCGTCAGGTGGGCATCTTGGCTGTTTCCATAACTTGGCTATTGTGAATAGTGCCGCAATAAACATGGGTGTGCAGGTGCCTCTGAGTAACAGTCTTTTGGGTATATCCCCAAGAGTGGTATTACTGGATCAAATGGTAGATCGATGTCCAGCTTTTTAAGTAGCCTCCACATTTTTTTCCAGAGTGGTTGTACTAGTCTACATTCCCACCAACAGTGTAAGAGGGTTCCTTTTTCCCCGCATCCTCGCCAACACCTGTTGTTGGTGGTGTTGCTGATGATGGCTATTCTAACAGGGTGAGGTGGAATCTTAGTGTGGTTTTAATTTGCATTTCCTTTATTGCTAGAGATGGTGAGCATTTTTTCATGTGTTTTCTGGCCATTTGAATTTCTTCTTTTGAGAAAGTTCTGTTTAGTTCACTTGCCCATTTCTTTATTGGTTCATTAGTTTTGGGAGAATTTAGTTTTTTAAGTTCCCTGTATATTCTGGTTATCAGTCCTTTGTCTGATGTATAGTTGGCAAATATTTTCTCCCACTCTGTGGGTGTTCTCTTCAGTTTAGAGACCATTTCTTTTGATGAACAGAAGCTTTTTAGTTTTATGAGGTCCCATTTATCTATGCTATCTCTTAGTTGCTGGGCTGCTGGGGTTTCATTGAGAAAGTTCTTACCTATACCTACTACTCCAGAGTATTCCTACTCTTTCTTGTATCAACTTAAGAGTTTGGGTCTGATATTAAGATCCTTGATCCATTTTGAGTTAATCTTGGTATAGGGTGATAACATGGATCTAGTTTCAGTTTTTTGCAGACTGCAACCAGTTTTCCCAGCAGTTTTTGTTGAAGAGGCTGCTATTTCTCCATCGTATATTTTTAGCTCCTTTGTCAAGAAAGTTGCTTATAGTTGTGTGGCTTCATATCTGGGTCTCTATTCTGTTCCACTGGTCTTCATGTCTGTTTTTGTGCCAGTACCATGCTGTTTTTATTGTTATTGCTTTGTAATATAGTTTGAAGTCAGGTATTGTGATACCTCCTGCATTGTTCTTTTGACTGAGTATTTGCCTTGGCTATTCGTGGCCTCTTGTGTTTCCATATAAATTTACAGTAGATTTTTCAATCTTTAATGAATGTCATTGGAATTTTGATGGGAATTGCATTAAACATGTAGATTACTTTGGGAGTATCGACATTTTTACTATGTTGATTCTACCAATCCATGAGCATGGGAGATCTCTCCACTTTCTATAGTTCTTCCTCAATCTCTTTCTTCAGAAGTGTATAGTTTTCCTTGTAGAGGTCTTTCACATCTTTTGTTAGGTTTACACCTAGGTATTTGATTTTTTTTTGGGGGGGGGGGGGGGGGGGGGGGGGGGGGGGGGGGGGGGGAGGAGGGGGGGGGGGGGGGGGGGGGGGGGGGGGGGGGGGGGGGGGGGGGGGGGGGGGGGGGGGGGGGGGGGGGGGGGGGGGGGGGGGGGGGGGGGGGGGGGGGGGGGGGGGGGGGGGGGGGGGGGGGGGGA